GCCGTCCGCATTCCTGTCGTTTTGGTCCGGAGCAGAAATTGCACGTGTGACCGCAAGTGGAGCTGCTTCGACGCTGCGCCGGAGTTGTAACGCTCAGCGGCTTTGCACGTGTGAACGCTCCACAAAATTTGCTCCGGTGTAAAATATTTCGGTGCAGCGTCGGACCAAATGTGTGCCGTGTGAACGGGGCTTAAGGTAGGCACTGATTCCTTTTTATGAACTTACAAGCTCTTGTATTGACTTTTCTCCTTTCGTTCATGTTCGGGTCTGTTATGGCTGTTGCTCATCATGACATGCATGTGTGTTTGCGTGCGCGTGCGGTAGCGGGTCGGCATCACCTGAAGTTGTTAGCGGTCAGCAGTCTGAAATTGCAGCTTGTGATTAAAGCTGTTGCCTCATATCTTTTTTATTTTTATTATTCTTATTCCAAGTTTGTTTCATGTACAATTCACCGATGGCACTGGCAAAGAATGGGAATTTCGAGCAGCAACGGAAGAATTGTAAAATGGTACACGAGAGCTGCCAAAGTGCATCCCATAGTGCCGCGTCACTTCTCGACTAACGTAGGCACTGATTCCTTTTTACAAACTCACAAGCTATTGTATCGATTTTATTTTTCTATTTTGTTCATGTTTGGGGCTGTTATGGCTGTTGCTCATCACTGCATGTGTTTGTGTATGCATGCACGTGCGGTAGCGGGTCGATCGCGGGAGGTCGGTTGCTTGAAAAGTCGATCTTAGGTCAAAAAAGGCTGGGCATCCCTGATCTATCTGGTTCCGATATAGGACATACTGTCCTTTGTTCTTTGCATTTTGAACAATAGACAAAATGCAGCGGAGAGGAATGCTGTACACCACATTTCAGCAACCTACTCCCAAAATAACATGAATGTTCATAGACTTCTGTTGCAGGCTTGCTTGGTTTAGTGTTGTGGTAAGGTGAACAGCGTTCGCTAGAATTGGGTTGGATCTGCTGCTTGAACAAAGCCACTGGCCTCAGCCAGCCCCTCATTAATGAATTCATTCTTTTCTTGAAATTATCCAGAGAAATTCGCTGGCCTTATTTATGACTGTGTTTGCATGCAGCACTTGGCAGAACAGCAACGGTGCTTTTATGTCACCATAACTCTAGGGCAAAGACGAGGGAGCAGACGGTTGCAGCAAGGTGCACA